TATTTCATATAATGCTTCTTAAAGCTTTTCAATATCCGCACCCTTTTCTTATAATTTCGGCCTTCAATTGGAAACCAGTTGCAGCAACTTTGATTTTATAATATATCTTTATATATATAATCAGTTCCTGCTGAAAGTAGATTTAGATAATCAATTATTGGATAGAATGGAATAGAATCTGACAATTTCGTATTCCTGTTCAAAGCTTAATTATTGGTTATACTGAGGACTGAGATTGATCTCCAAGACTCCTTGTGGCACATTTTAAAGCACATACTAAATCAGGTGGACTTTATATAGTAACTAGCTGGTATATAATAATTTGCTGTGTGCATGTGCATATATATGTATATATGTATATATATAGTACATAAATCTTTCACCTTTCAGTTTGCATTTAGATAATTTTCATATAAATTAGAATCAAACTCAAATTGTCCCGTCAAGGTAGAAGACCTAACTAGCTGATGTAATAACTCGTATTCCTTTCTTGAACATATTATCTATACACGCGTTATATCATGTCATGTATGGTATGAAGTGTGACATTTCCTGGCATAAATGTTTTAGAAGTTAATACGAATGGAATCAAAGAAACACCTTGCGGGACATTTAAATCCTTAACATGAATTATCATCATATATACAGCATCTGAGAGAGGCTTTTAAGTATGCATGCGCACAGAGCATAGGAAAAGTTCAGCCTTGGAGTTGGTAGGAATTTCTGTGAAAAAAATAGTGGTCCTTAACTAGACAACTAGGGTTTTGTTTTTTCACAGAAAAGTTATTTCCAAAGGCTAGTGAAAAATATAAGATAGGCTATTTGCGGGATCAACCTTTTTTGCTCATGTGAAACCCATTAAAGAACCGGTATATATGCCAACTATATATTGTCTATAATTGAAGAGATTTTAAAGATGATAGAGGGATTAAGAATTAATGTTAAAGAAATTTTAAACAAGTTTAGTAAAAATCAATTTCTTCATTAGGAGATAATAATAGCCCTTGATCAGTAAGATTATGCATGCATAGAGAAAACGTTGCCCGGCCCTCACCTTTCCAACTACATATTTATTTATAATCTATGTAGTTGTAAGTATAATCATAATGGATAATTTAAAATAGTTTTTTTCTTGCAACCGAAATAAAATTTTAATGATGTTATTCGTTCAACAAATACTTGTTATTTGCATAAAAATAAACCGCTCGTCTGATAGATATTTACTATATGATAGATTGTGAATAAGACATGAGACCAATTGAAGAGTCTAATCAGTTTCTGAGATTTAGTCTAACTTCAACCCAGATATCAACCAATTTCAAGCTACAAGTTGCGCTGTAGGGTATGCAGACAACTTAACAACTTACAACAGAGACTACGAAAACCCAAAGCATTACATGGATTTCAGCAAAGGGCCAATTGGGGCAGTGCTTTACCACCTCGGTTTCTGTATCCTACACAATAGGGTAATGCAATGCAATTTTAATCGTAAAACGGGAAAGAAAAAGAGAATGGGGGAATATTCCTTTATTTTTGCGCCAAACAAAAGGGATATTCAGAGGAGACGATATGGGGGAATATCATGACAGGTGTTACCAGGAGAATCTGTTTCTTTTCCTCTTTTTTTTTCTTTCATTTCATTTGCTTTGCTTTCCTTTGGAAAACCCTAAACAAAAACAAAACAAAGAAATTAACAGAGAGACAGATAGAATCTGCAGAAAAGGTTAGGCTTGGAGGCTTGTACAAGAAGACTGATTTTAGAAAGCGACCAACCATCATTATTTGCACCTCTCTATCTATCTTTGTCTTTGTAACAGATAAAAGAGAATTCGATGCAATGCTCTATTAAGTCCTCTCTCTCTCTCTCTCTCTCTCTCACCCCCCAACCTTGATCATTTTATAGTGGAAAAGGTATCTGCCTCTCTTATTGCTAGATTAGGTCTTTGACTGTTAATTCATGGACCTGCATTTGGACTGATCATTTTTCATTTTTTTTAGTTGCATGCCAAGCCATGCAGCAACCAGATTATTGTTAATAAAAAAGCTAATTTAATAGTGTACAAGTTCATATGATGGATTGAAGAAAGCCTAGAAAGGGCATGCATTATATGCAGTATCAATACTAATAAAAGCTTGTTGTGACCTGTGAGGTGGAACGACTCAGTCAGTATGTAATTTTTTTTTTATTAATTAGAAACTTAGCTAGATTACTCTTATGAAATAACATACATACATACATACATATATATATATTAGTATTCTTTATTGGTATGCGTCGTGATGAATAAAGTGTTATTCACACACTTATTTTTACCTCCCACACTCTTTTATTAATTTTTGTTCATTGATCTTATTCAATTCTTTCGTTTCGACGGCCGAAAATTAAGAGGGTGTGTGAAAGGTATAAATGAATTTATGGATAACATCACCCAATGATGTACAATGCATTAATTTTGAGGGATTAGTGGTTTCTCTCCGTTTTCCACTCGTACTTAAAAGGTTAGAATACCCTTTTTTCATAAGTTGTAATCCATTATCAGCAGTTGAGTGATAAATTTGTTTCAGACATCCTTATATTAAAAAAAATACACAGTCGAATTAAGAATTTAAAATTTAGGGTGCAGATACAATAATATTCTAAAGTACTGTAGAATTTTCCTAATTAAAATAGCTAGGTAATTGGAGTCCTTACATATCCATTCATGTGATTGCCTGTGTCAAAGTTACAAGCTCCATATATATCAAGGGGGTTACTTCTAGATCTTATCCAATTATTTTATATAATTTTGTGCTACAGCCCTCAAATATATTTTTGTTGGTACAAATATCCCTTAAATATATATTCATTTCATTCAAAGGCGAATCGGGATTAATTGTTATGGAGGTTCAGAACCCTAAAAAATTCCCCTAATTTTTATAAGAATCTTCTTACCTTCCAACCCACTTCATTAAAGTGAGTAGCAGAAGAAGATTCTCATCTCTTAGAGGCTCCTTTATTATTCTTTTGGAGTGGTAATGGTTTTCCAATTCCCTTTAAGCTTTGTGGGTTTTGTTCCCTTAATTTAGAGACGTAGAATTGGAACGAAGATATTCCTTTTCCTTAGAGGCAAAATATTATATTCCTTTAACATGAATGTTTCATCTTCTTTTTATTAGATATTCCCCTCCCCTCTCTCTCTCTCCCCCCTTTCTCTCTCTGAATGCACTCAATTTCACGGCAATTATGCAACTTTTGAAACCAAAAAGAAAGTTGCATGCAATTGCAGCATGGTGCATGGAATATTGATACTAATCTCATTTGAATATGTCCTCTTTTTACTCCTCTTTCGATCTTTACTCATGCAGCTCATATTCCAACTCCGTGGTAAAAACAATAATATATATGGATCATGGATGTGGATGATATATAGTATATGCTAGCGCTCCTCTCCCAAGACCTTTTTTCTTCATTCTTTCATTTTTAATATTTAATGATCATAGAATCATGAATACATAAAATTATTGAGGTAGTGCTAGAGAGTCTAAATTTATAGACAAAATTTTAAAAACTAAACGGCATGAAAGTAGAAGATTGATTTATTACTTAAGCGTTAACAAACGTGCTTATTCATATTGGTGACATATAATTTAATTTCCAAATTTTGTCTCAAAATTTAGTTTTCCTACCATTACTTTTTTACGTAAATGATAGAATACTTGGTAAGGCTACCCTCTAAAGTACGAGAAATTTTTCATTGTGACCGGAACACGGGTGGTACACCACGTGTTTGTATATAAGTGGTGGGAAACTTTATTTTTGAAGTTATTAAGTTTTTAACACACATATTCTACTATTTATATAGTAACACTTGGTGTACCACTATGTGTTCCAGTCATTCTGAAAAATTTCTCCTGAAGTACTACTTGGCCGTACGCGTGTCCAACATCTCCAATCTTCTGCTGCTTTGAAATTTGGTGTGGTGTGAGAGCTTTTCCCTGGCTAGACTTTCGATGCGATACCTGATACGTACATCACAACCATGGAATCGTACATTCTTTTTGACCCTTTAATTGTGGATTTGCTAGGTTATTTTTTCGTAACATTTGCTAACTATGTTCTTTCATCACATTTCTTACAACAATGTGTATAAGATAAACTTTCTCCAAATAGTGGCACTCCTAAACATATCTATATCATGCACATTTGATTTATTTGAGGTTGATTTATCAATGCTATTGTGTCATTTAAGAGTTATCTTATATTGAAAAGGACAATTTTGCCTTACTAGTTTAAATAATCGCGAACCTCTCTCTCAAATTATTAATTAATTTTAAGTTGAATGCTCACGTTCTAATAATGTATAGTTATTAGAATTAGAGTATTCAACCGATTTTAATTTTTTTAGCCCTAACGCAAGGTAATTCTTCAATTTGCAGTAGATACCTAGATTTGAACCATTCCATTCCATGGTCAGCATGTCACATATCACAATGGAAACGAAGAATTAATTTTTGTAGGATAAGTTTGAATATTAATACACGTACAAGGTTTAATATATATCTTAATTTTGGTTGAGTAGAGAATAATAAGTTCATAGCAGAGTACGATTCGAAGGACCAAACAAAAGTAAGGGAAATAATTACTAAAAAAGAGAAAGGGTGAAAAAAACTTAGAGCAGTGGTAGTAAGAAGAATCATCTTTTATTTTCGTGAATTTGAAATCGTACAGAGTATAGAGAGAGAGAGAGAGAGAGAGAGAGAGAGAGAGAGAGAGAGAGTATCAAGTCACTTAGCATATGACCCTGTACTGTCTGACACCTTGATTCCTTCTTCCACACCCACAGCCAAAGACCAGTAGAGAGAGAGAGAGAGAGAGAGAGAGAGAGAGAGAGAGAGAGAGAGAGAGAGAGAGAGAGAGAGAGAGAAGACTCATTTTTTAGCTTTCTTCATTTGCCTTTGTTCTTTGCAAGAAGTTACCATCCCTCTTTATCCCCCTCTTTGCTTTATTTTTCTTTTCCTCTCCCTCTCTCTCTCTAAAATCTCTTCAACAAGAGCACTTTATTCCCTTGAACTCACCCTAAAAAGAAGACGATCCTACCACGATCCTCCTTGTGTTCAGAAACCAACACCCGCTACCTTTATCTCTCTCTCTCTCTAACCTTGTTTTGAAAAACTTCTCCATCCTATCTAGAATTTTTACACAGAGCCAAAGACCTTCTTTTGCTCTTGTTTTTCCCACATAACCCTATTCCTGTTTTTGCTTGAATATCAACATTTTCTTATAAAAACAGTGGTGAGTTTTCTGATAAAATTATAACATTTAAGTCAAAATGGCATCGTCACCTTCGGAGCTGAGCCTGGACTACAAGCCCCACAGCTACTCCATGCTCCTCAAATCCTTTGGGGACCTGCAGGCGACTCACCTCCACGACCAGTCTCAGACTCAGAAGCTGGAAGAGTTCCTCTCCCGCCTCGAAGAAGAACGTCTCAAAATCGACGCTTTCAAGCGCGAGCTTCCTCTTTCCATGCAACTCCTCACCACTGGTATGCATCTAGCTAGATAGCTTTCCACCATTCGACTAGGTCTCAAGGTTCATGTTCTTTTAACTTCCTTCAAGTTTTAATTAATTTAATAGGTCTAGTTCCCATTCCCAACCCTTTTTCTTTATCCCTTTTTCATTTATAGAAGGGAGAGCTATCCCAAAGTAGCCACTTACATAATATGAATATCCAACATATTTTCTAAAGAACTAAAGCAACCACAATTTGGCTCAAGGAAGTGATTTCTGCGCTCCCTTTATCTCCTACTAAACTTCTCCCCTTAATTTTAATCTTAGGAATGAATAAAACACAAAAGAATCAATGGACAAAAACACTTGAAACTCAATTTAGCCCAAAAAAATAATAATACTAATTGGAGAATTGATTTTGTTTGTTTTTCTTTTTAAAGCTGTGGAGGCTTCAAGGCAGCAGCTACAGGCATATAGAACAAACAATATTCAAGGCCAAAACAGGCCCGTGCTTGAAGAGTTCATACCCCTAAAGCATTCAAACTCTGAAGGCTCAGAAAAACCTACCAACGCTACTTCTGATAAGGCAAACTGGATGACCTCCGCCCAACTTTGGAGCCAAGCAACTGATCATAACCCTAATGCAACGTCTAAACCCCAATCCACCATAACAACTGGCCCTAAAGAAACCGATATCGGGTTCAGCGTCAGCCCCAAACTAGGGTTTGAAAACAAGCAGCACAGATCGTACGGTGGAGGAGCTTTCCTTCCGTTTTCGAAAGACCGCAGCCCTACTTTGCGGCCTCTTCCGGAACTCGCTCTCGCCTCTCCAGAAAACAATAAATCAGAGATAGTATTGGAGGACAAGACTAATCATCTTGAGAATGGAAATATTAATTCATCATCAGCTGCTGGGAATTGTAATGAACAAGGTAAATTATTGGGAGCTGGTGGAATTAATAATAGCTCGGAGGGACAAAATGGACAAGCAACAATTACAGCCGGCGCCGGCGCCACCACCACCACAACTCAAACCCATAGAAAGGCACGGAGGTGTTGGTCTCCGGACTTGCACCGCAGATTCGTCAATGCCCTTCAAATGCTTGGTGGTTCTCAAGGTAAACACCTAACCCTAGCTACCTGCTAATTAATAGCCCAATCATTATTTGTTATGATTTCTGGTCAATTTGAATCTTATTTACGTACGTACGTTTTGTTTGGTATGGTCAAATTTGCAGTGGCGACCCCAAAACAGATCAGAGAGCTGATGAAGGTTGACGGTTTGACCAATGATGAAGTTAAAAGTCATCTGCAGGTACAAAATATGTCCAATTATGTCTTGCTCTTTTCCTGATCCCTGCAGGCAAAGATGCAGGCACGAGAAACCTATGCCTACCCTTTGTCCTATTCACGAGTATATTGCCGGTTCAATTGAACTTGGACTATGCCGTCGATTTTTCTAATGAACTTTTATTTAGGTAGATTTTGTTATGATCTACTACAAACAACCAATTTTCGCCCTTCAGTCATATTTTCTGGCAGTTCAGATAACTTTTTGTTACGAATGTCGCATTTCAATAAATAAAAAGTAACAAACGATCATAAGAAGAAAACACTTAATGATGATATCTTCTGTTTTTCCCTTAATTTTTTTTATTCTATTTAAACACCACCACCCATCTAATTTCACCTCACTAATGAAGTTTTGTTTTAGTTTTTAATTGTGTTAAAAGACAAAAGAGGACAATTACTTGAACTTGAGATACAATGCCATCTACACCCTAACAACCCTAATCTTTTCTCAAACAAAAAGAACTTGTATCATTCATCTTGTATCGTGAAAGAAGAGGTGTGGCTTTTATTTTTCTTTTGAGTTTTAAGAAGCAGGAGGGCGCAATAGATAGTTGACATGTTTGTAAAAAAAAAAAAAAAAAGAATTGAGCAGGACATTTTTTTTCTCAACGTTTTTAACAAATGAATTTGGGGAAGAACATCAATTTAGTTTTATAGGTTTTGCCGCGATATACTCGTATCTTAATTAATTACCATATCCTTTTTTCTCTGTTTTCTTTCTTAATTGTTAATTTTGTTATATTATTGTGAAAATTACAGAAGTACAGGCTCCACACAAGGCGACCGAGCCCAAGCCCCCAAGCAGGCGGAGGACCAACGCCACAGCTAGTAGTGTTAGGCGGCATCTGGGTGCAGCCGGAGTACGCCACTGCAGCCCACAACGGTTCTGCGGCTCTTTACAGCCCGCAGCCGGGCTCCCATGCACCACCGCACTACTGCGCCACCCCAATGCCGCAAGACTTCTACGCCACGCCGCAGCAGCTGCACCACCACACTCTCCAACACCAGCTCCACGTGTACCGAACGTCCACCGTCTCCCACACCCAGAGCTCCCCGGAATCCGACGGCCGTGGGGCCGGAGACAGGTCAGGGAGCATTGAGGACGGAAAGTCGGAGAGCGGCAGCTGGAAGGGGACTGAGAATGGTGATCATGTTCATATGAACGGTGGAGATCAGAGAAACGGAGGGTTGACTGCACGGCGGTCGGAAGACGGTGAGGACAGTAACGGAAGTCAGATCACGCTCAAGTTCTAACCTTTTGATGATACGAGGTTACTTAATTAATCATAGGGTAATTAGAGAAAGATTAGGGCTACCCATTTGTATGTTATATGCGCTAATCATGTTTAATTTCTAATATTTATCGTTATTTATGATGTGATAGATGTGCCCATCGGATTAGGGTTAGAGAGTATAGATGGGTAAAAAGGTCATAACGGGAAAAGTGAGTGTTTGTTTTATTTTCCCCTTTTCCTTTTTCTTTTGTAGATTGGATTCTATTGAAGGAATAATTCACATCTATCTCTATTCACTCTTTTTATATTCCTACTACCTCGTAAAAATTTTCCACATGAATTATATAGAACAAGGGGGTCCTTGAAATAATAATTCAAAATATAAATGGACAAATTGGGGGTGTATTCAATTCCCTTGAAATCTCATGTGGAGATATGAGATTTGTAGATGCTTAAAATACATTACGAAATCTCTCCAATTTCCTGTAATTCCTCATTTTTTTTCAATTTTTTTCAAATCAAATTCTAATTGAATACACCTGGAATGTTATAAATTTCTTTAAAATCTTGATTGAATACCCATTAAATTTCAGAGAATCACTTAAAATCCTAATTGAATACACTTAGATTCATTAAAAGAATTAAATTCCCTTAAAATTCCAATTGGATACACCCCCTTAATAACTATAAAATGAAGATTGACACGTTTTAAACGATTCTGGTTTTAGAACATAATGTAATAAATAATACATGGGGTAAATCAGAATAAGGTACAAAGTTTAGGGTTCAAAATATTCCCAAATAACCAACCATAAAGAATATTGTCATGCTAAAATCAAATTTGACCATGCATGAAATAGAAGGATTAACTTATTGTTCCAAATAACCAAACCATGTTTTGTGGTGGTGTTGTAACCCACGAAGAAACTAGAAAGAAGAGGCACCGAAAGTGCCTGCCTGGCTCCGACTTCTTTCCACCGTGATGGTTTCTCAAAGTCCTCAATAAAAACACACAACAGCCACTTTATTAATCAGCCTTTTTCCTTCTGTTCCCTTGCTTTATACAACTCAGAGGAAGAAGGTTACTACATGTTTCCATTTGCGCCATCTTTCGATCTTCGGCGTTAAAAGGTGTATATTCGACACCTGGGCAAAAATCGATAATGAAGAGCTTTCGTGGAGCTAGATAAGTATCAGCAGATAAGACGCTGTCCTAAATCACACATGCCAGGTCCAACCCAAAATATGTCTACTTGTTAGGAAACAATTCCTTCCTTGGAAGAAGCAATGAGTCAATGAACTGCTCAAGTGGAAATGCATACCACTAGACAAGAGTATTGTACAACACAAGACCAAGCTACCGGCTTATCGGAAACCATGATGTATGACATACGTCTCAGATACAATAAGCTGAGTCTCCACTTTCAAGTAAATATCTAGAAATGCTGCATAATCCTCCCCATCCAAACAGAGGGAGAAAAACAATATACTTTGTTACTTGTTACTCTTCTTCCAGATTTCAATACGATGCACATCATGCATTGCCAATTGTCAAGATTTCATCCCTCAAGCCAACTTCATCGCTACTATGTTCCAACATTCCTGTATCAACAAGCAACTGCAAGCAAAATGGTTTACATGTTAATTTCTGTCACAACATTTATCCCACAGCAATCTAACAGTGCAGAATGTAGAGGTAAAAGTTTTCCACTTGGTACATATATTAGAATAGACCTTTTTTGGTAAAACAAGGGTATGAAGATCTTAAAAAGAGCAAACTTTGGGGTTTGCACTTGACAAAAGTGTTAATGTGTCACGCCAATGAAACTGGATAACTTCGTTATGGCAGAATGAATAGTCAAATCAGATCGAGAATAAAGATAGACACAAAGCAAGCTGATTTGATTTCAATTGAAGAATATATCAGAAGAAATACGTTCGTTCCCATTTTCAAAATTTTCAAATGGTTCATTTGTGTAGTCCCTTTTTTATAAGATTATTTATGCCTTTTCAAGCATTGACAAAATGGAAATGTATCAGCATTGTTTTCCTGTACAAATTTCAGAGGAACGAAGACTCCAACCTGGAGCTCGTGTTCACAGCTTTTAAGTTTTTCAGTGTAATCTTTTACTTGCATAAAGGATTTATGTAGCTGCAAATAATTTAAACAACGTGCATTAGCTCCAATTAATGTCCATTTGTCAAGTTAAGTTTACTGACAACCAACCTTAGCGATTAAAAATACCTTGGTTATTTTCATCTTCTCGTGTGAAGAGTTCTTCTTTGCATTTATCAAGGCATCCTCCAATTTCTGCATAGACAGATTTTCAGTATGTGTTGGCTACAAAAATTACAGAACCTACGTGGCGCGCAGGCTGAATAACTAATGAGCTAACTAATGTCCTTCGGTTGAATGCAGGGCGTGCCAACTCGTCGGCCGAGCCCGGCCGAGGAGTAAAATTTGATGCGGTCGCGTTGAGCGTGCTGTTGACTTCTGTATCTTGCGATTGCGACCGAGGAAGGAACGCTCTCGGTCTCTGGATTCTATAGCCTGAAGACAAGGCTACTAATTCTACGGAGTTCACAACTCGTCGAGGCCTGATTCGGCCACTGTGATTATATTTGTAAGAGTATAAGCACGCCGAATTGAGACCAAACTATACGGGCACAGGTACTCGAATGTGATATATGTCTTGATGGTAAACGTAGTTCGGCCGTCGGAATGCCGAACCCTGAAACCTACTTGTGAGTATCCAATCATAAACTCACTCGGCCTCCAATGCGCCGAGCAAGGCAATTCGTAACACCCAACTATGCCGAAACGGCTTAGTAAGATGACCTCTACCAACAAAGGTTCGAAAACCTTTCTCGGCCGAGACTTAGATAGATAATCGGTCGACCTCAACGCAGTGCTGTTTATCCAAACTGAAGGTGTATCTTGGTCGGCTGATTCTGCGGCAGCAGTGCTGTTTATCCAAACTGAAGGTGCTCACCGGTTGCTTCCACAGTGCTGTTTATCCAAACTGAAGGTGTGTCGGCGGGGAAAGAAAAGGAAAAATCTCAAGGTGTTTGAGAGAATTTGCGCAGGGCAATTGTATGCTGATTGTGGCGTCCTTTCTATTGCGTAATTTCTTGTATTTATAGCACCTCGTTCCTTGATTCCCATTCTGATTTGGATTGGGAGTCCTTGTCCCATCTTACCTTTAATTCAAACAATCCCAGTCCTATTGGGATTCTGAATTCTCCTACTTTTGAGGTTCTATCCCTTGCCGGTCGAGAATCCTGGTTGCATCAGGATCTCCTTGACCTTTCCTCGTTTATCTGGACTACTTAAGATCGGATCTGGCCGACCCTGCCAGCTGGTCCGAGTCTCATTACTTGGCCCATAGCATGTGTTATTACCTTGGGCCGAGCACGTCTTGCTGCTCGGCCCAATCATAATATTTTGGGCCCAAACATTGCCCCCTCGCTTCTGAGGTCGCCGGCTGTCACTCTTGGTCGGTTCTCGGCCTTGAAGAAGCGAAAACATTTGTTGCTTTTTGGACCTTACTTCATTAATGACCATTATTCCTGCATATTTATGAGACATGATTGCGCCTCCCTCGTTGCCCCCAACGCGTGGCCACGCGTCAATTTTACGCCGTTCTTAAAAGCTTCAATCATGGGCCTCGAAAACCTGCACAAACTGAATCGCCCTATCTTTATTAATACATTGAACCTGTCTCCGCACGCAATCGTGCGTCCTGGATTTTCGACTCCTCGATTCCATTTTCGCAGGTTCCCAAAAAAAATCCGAAATGATTGCAGACTTTCCCGGTCACATTTCCCCCCAATTTGAACCCACGCCTTTTGAATTCCAGTGTCTTTTGAAATTCAGACGTTTGATCTTTCGTCTGAAAAGCCTATAAATACCCACACTTCACCTAATCATATCTTACGCTTTCAGAAATTCCCAAACTTGCACATTTTAATCATTCTTGCTTATTCAAACCAAACCCTCTAGCTTTCCTTTCTGCAATTTTCCAGCTCTTCCAAATTACACTAATGGCTTCCTTCATCGCAAAACTTTCCGAGGAGATCAACAAGTGTAAGGATTTCATCGATCGGAGCGCTATCAAGACGCTGCGATTTGAAGAGGACATGGCCACCACCCACCAGATTCTGGGTCCCCTCTTCAGAGACGCAGTGCCGTCGCCTATCACTGACCTGCTCAAGGAGCAATGCCTAACACCCCTGCTGCAGGGGTTCGATTGGTCGAAGTGGACCCTGGCGCGGCCTCAAGGAGCTTGGCCCTCGACCACTACTGCTTGGGCCGCCTGGGTGGACCGAATGAGGTCATTCTTTGGCGAGGAGTGGAAAACCCTTGGTATCTATGATGCCATCCTGCTCTCGACCATGGAGATTACCATGGACAAGGAGCTGCTTATGGCGGCCTTGACTCTTTGGTGTTCGGCCACCAACACTATGGTCCTTCCATTCGGCCCCCTCGGCCCAACGGTCCTCGATATTTCGGCAATCCTTGGGACTTCTCCATCCGGCCTCCCAATCGATGCCGCTCTTTCAGGATGCCCCTCCCTCCTCGACCTGAAGGCGCTTTTCGACGAGCGGGCCGTCGAAACGCTCAGTCGGGGTGGCCGGGAGCCTTCGAGGGAAGAAGTTCACAAGCTCCACAAAAACTTCTTTAATTATAATACTCTCATCCTCCATTTCGCCGGCCGGGGCGAGGAGAGTCTCAGGAAGGGGGAACATGAAGCCTTCCTCTTCTACTGGTACAACAAGTTTATTTGTTGTACCAGATCGAACAAATGTTTGGTCGAGAATATGCCGGTGGCCCAGGCTCTGGCTAGTGGTCACCTTCTGGCGCTCAGCCCGGCTATTCTTGCCAACCTTTTTCGTTGCTTGGCCGAGACGACCATCAACAAGATTGATCCGCACCAGAATGGGCCCCTCTAGGTCTTTCAACTCTGGCTGCAGGTCTACTTCTCCACTCTTCGGCCTGAAGTCCTTACCTTCCAGCGCTCGGCCGCCCTTGGCTCCCAACTGGCATCTCGACCGGCCCCTCCTCACCGGGCCGACGAGGTTCTTAGGCATTTTTTTGGCCTCGACGTCCTTTCGGATGACGAGTTCTTGGTGTGCCGGCACCAGGAATACCCTGCCTCGATCAGGCTCCCGACGGCAGCCTGGGCCGAGATCGAGGACGCGGGCCTCCGTCAGTCTTGGGGGTCAATCGTACTGGCTCGCGACCTTCCCCTTGGTTGCGACGCCCGCCGAGCCAGCTGGGAGGTCTACCATCCTCACTTTGTCGCCCGGCAACTCGGCTACCTCCAAGGTTGCCCCGTTCCTCTGCTCGCCTCCCGTTCCCTCTTGAGCCGGGGGCGTCTTTCTGGTTCCTCCGAGAGGGAATGCCGGTCGATGGAGCAAGAATTCCAGGATCGGTGTAAGAAGTTCCGTCTTCGCCCAACCGTTCCGGAATCCTTGGGCACCGATACCTTTGGGGATTGGTGGGATGCGTACATCTGCGACTTCTTCGGCGCCTCAATCGAAGACGTGGTGAGCAAAGTCTTTGGCGACCGGCCGGGACTAGCACCCTTGACCCAACCTAAGGAGTCGGCTCAAGGTACATTACTGAAACTACTTCGCCATTTCAAAACTTGCCCTTGTTTAACAATTACGTTGCTATTTCAGGGGGTCGTGGGTCGAAGAAGGCCGAAGTGGTTGCCGCGGCGGCGAGAGTGAAGAAGGTGGTGCCCAAGAAAACCATCGCCACTGAGCGGACAGCCCCCTCCAAACGCCTCCACCGAGAGGCCGAGCCGGAGGTTGATGTCCTTCGCCCTTCTAAACGCGTCAAGAAATTGGCGAAGAAGGGCGACCGGGAGATCCATGTCGTCCCCAGTGATGCTACTGGGACGCCTGCTTCTGACGGCTCTCCTGTGCCGGCTACCCCGGCATCTCCACTCCCGATCCCTCCAGCCGTTCCCCTTCCTGGCGCCACGGCCGATCCAATCGTCGCACCATCTCCAGCTTCGGAGCCGGTCGTGGCGCCTGCAATGGCCAAACCGGCTGCGCCCGTCGATGCACCCTCGACTCCCACGGTCGTTTTGGAGGTAAAATTCTACTTCCACTTGTTTCCTTAGGTTTCGGGTCGTAATGCTAAATGTTCTCTTTATGTTCAGGATGACGAGAGCGTGAGTAACGAAGTTCCGCTGGAACGCCACCGTCGACCAGTTCACTCTCCTCCCGTCCATCCTTCTCCGGTCGTCGAGGCGACCGCTAGACCACGTCCTTCCGCGGCAGATCGTGGTAAGAGGCCCATGGCCGATCCTGAGGCCACGGCCGAAACGCCGATCCATCCGCAGGACGAAGACCTTCCCATTCCTCCACAGGAAGTCTCTTCGGCCTTTGTAAGTCTCGCTTCTTTTGTATTGATTTTTTCGTGACACATGTTTTATTTGAAAAAGACCATTAAATGTCAGGTGCCCGAACATTCATTTCACCGGCAATTTTATGCGCCGAGGGGTGTTGTCTATATTTCCTGGCCACCGTCGTGGCCATCAAATGTAGATAACCTCCATCGGCCGCGTGAATTGCGTAGCGGTCTAAGGCACTGGGCTCGGCCATTAAGTTCCCTGGGTTCGAGCAATGACCCAGAGGGCATGGCCGAGGTCTCCTCTCGGCAGGTCTAAAACAATCCCCCTTTTCCTTTATGCACTATATGATGACGTTTTACTTTTCTTCACAAAGTTCTCTTACGTGCAGCCGTCGTGGGAAGTGGAGCTCGATGCCCTTCTGCAGAGCACGAATGGTGCGGCCGGTTCTTCTGCTGCTCTGGCCGAATCGGCGGAAGCCACGCCCGCCGAAGTCTTTGTGAAGCTGCACGAAGTCTTGTCTCTGACTGCCTCCCAAGCTCTCCGGTGCAAAGGCCTCGACTCTGTTGGAGAGTGTCTCAACGACCTCGCCAGCGGTGGTCATCTGAGCCCGGAAGGTATCTCTTTCCTTACCGACCTCCTGGAGCGGACTCGGCAACACTTCTATGTCCTCGAGCGAGCCCTTCAAGCCGAGGATGACTTGAAGGCTGCCAAGGTCGCGCAAGAGGCCGGCCGAGCTGAGATGGAGGCAATCAAAGCTAAGAAGGCGACGCTGACTGAGTTTGATCGCCAGATATTTGAACTCCAACGTCAAATCTCTGACCTTCAACGACAAAGGTCAGTTGCCGCTGCCGAGCTCGAGAAGGACTTCGAGGCTAGCAAGGCTCGGCTGACGGCCTTCGCTGCCGGTGCACGGCACGTCCAGCAGTTGCAGTGTAACAAGAAA